GCTCCGTGGCTGGAACAATCCTGGAATTGGCTGCGGAGTAAATTGAAGCAAAGCCCTTAGTGCAGCTGGCCTTAACGCTTCTGTGTTTGACATGCAGATGGCTTGGACAGCTTTCTGTGAGGTAGTGTAGAGGTTTGTAACAGAAATGACTGGTGTGGACGCAGTACGCAAAAGGAAATGTGCAGTGAGAGGAGGGGAGCTGACCTTGTGAGAAATGAAAGGTGGCACCTTTCAAACGTGCAGGATCTATTGGTCTCATATTGCAAGTCCTCTATGGTCCTGTCCTTAGTTGGAGGTGATTATATGGGATCAGATTTCCCTCCTTTGGGTGAGAGTGACTGGTGAGTGGTGGTCAGAAACGCTGTGCTCTCTCATCTTTGGAGCAACCACCAAACACTAGAGGTGTCCTTTGCCATCTTCTATTATAAAGTTATAAACGCTGGTGGTATCTTTCACAGCTTAATTGCTGCCTTAACAGTTTCTGAGTGTTGGTTTGGTTTTTTTTTGACAGCACTCTCTCATACCTTAATGATGTTCAGCCTGATGGTTCACCAAGGGTTCTTCCCACTCTTAATGGTGTTGGGTGGGAAGAAAAACAAAACTATCAGCCCTGTGCCCTGTGGAGAGCTAATCTTCCAGAAGTCTGAGCTGCCTCTCTTGCTACAGGGTTGGAGAAGCTGGTTACCTGGCTTCTGAAATTCGGCAGCTTCTGACCTGGCATTTCACTATGATGAGCTAGGTTGGAAGACACTTTACTGAAGAAGGAATTTTTGTTCCTGCTAGACTTTTCTTTTAGAAAACATTTTCAGAGTGGAATTGCTGTCTGGCTGGTACTCTGCACTTGTGCTTGTCTAAAGGAGTGTGTTAGAGCTCAGCTGTCAGCCTTTCCCAAAGCTCTCTGAAGGAAGAGGATTCTTTGCCCAAGAAGTAGAGGGCAACAGAAGCAGGATAGCCAGCCCTGAGGTGGAAGTATTCATAACCTTTCATGGCCTTTGTAAGCCCACGTGCACATTCTGTGTGTTTTTCCTTGCGCTAAGGAGTTTGCTGGCATTTATCTTGCAAGCTTATATGAAAGTGAGCAGGTATTCTCTATACCTATTAGGAATTGGAGTATATTCAAGACATGTTAAAAGCTTTCTCAAGAGGAATTAGAACTTGATAAAACAGTAAGAAACCTTGCAGTGTATTGGCGTAAGAAGTGACTTACAGCTCCGTCTAGGGGTGATGAAGCATCAGGACAACAAAGTGTATAAAGCTGTGCTGTACCAGTGCACTGCAAATTAAGGTCTGGTTTTGACAGAGAAGATAGGAGGGGGAGAACTTGGATTACAGGAGTACAGATCACAAATTAAATGCCCTGCTTACTAGGCAGGCTGCTGGAGCTCCAGGTATAGTAAGTCTTTCCTGCGTGGAGATTCTTGAAACCTTATGTGGCGGTGTGATCCCCGGGAATACTGTGGACTAAAAACACACTAGCGACTCAAAAGGAAAATGTATTTTAGTTAAACATAACAGAGGCTCAGTGATCTGGTTTCGGTAGCTGGTGGATTGAGGAGTGTTGGTGGAAGCAGGGTGCTTTCACCAAAAGAGTGAATAGAAACTGCAGAATTTAAGCTATTAATATTTTGAAGAGGAGTTCCAGCCTTTTGCTGTGGGTATAACAGTCAAACTTGAAGATTCAGCAAGTTTTGAAAGACTGTATGCTCGCTCTGTAAATGTTCTTATTTTGTTCCGATTTGTAACTGTACTTGAAGACAGAAATGGCTGACGTTTCTGACTCCCCTCCTTTCATTCCTTCTCTTCCTCCCTGCCCATGTATGTGAGTTGAATGAGCTAATGTGTTGTCCACTGCAGTTTAGCCAGGTTAATGCCACACGTGCGTTCAGCTACCATACCTCCCATTGCAAGTGGTGGCGAGGGGCCTGGGACTGGCGTTGCTCTGAGCTCAGCGGGCTGCCGCTTGAGTCTCTGTAATAGCTTGTGCACTTTCTTTCTGCTGGTCCACCCCCGCTGTCGAGCAAATAGTGTTGGTTCAAGCACCCTTTATGGGTATGAGAAATGAAACTATATCAAATTATGTGAAAATGGTTAGCCATTTCATCTTAAAGGTGAAGCGATTAGACACAAAGTCTTGGTTGCTGAGTAATCATTCCTTTAACATCATGTACAAAATCAGCCTGGAAACAGTTTATTCCAGCTGTTATTTTACAATTTGAGCCTCAAAATGATCAGCAGTTATGCTGTTCCAGGAAAGGAAAAGAAAAGCCTCCCTGAAGTGACTGATCCATCAAGCAACCTTCTTGCAAGGCAGTGCCTCCTGCAGGAGCTTTCTCTGGGCACGTAGCCCTGTGACCACCTAAGCTTTCTTGTGGGGGTCTTTGAGCACTTTGTCACAGCAGAGACCTGTATCTTTTTGTAGAGCGCTTTGGTTGAGTGTGAAAGGTGATTTTTCTCATTTTGGGAATTACTTCATTCATTTTCAGGATTATCTTGCCCCATGCATTCACTTTGCCACAAATGACAAAGCTCCAGCTGGGGGAGGAATGGAATCTTCTTGAGAAGCTGAAGCTTCTGATTTGAAATCTTCTAGTGCTCACTGTGAACAGTGGGTGGCCTTTTCTATTGAGCCTGCTCATTTTTGGTATCTCTTGACCTGACTTTCATCTCCATTCATCCTGACTTCTGTAAAACAAAATCTCTGGGAGAAATTGCTGGGATTTGGAAACTGTGGCAACAGTCTGTGGCTGGCTTGCTGGTGGAGCTGCTGACAGGAGAGTTTATGCATTAGAAAACAAAGGGAATGGTTCCCATGGACAGTAATACCTCACAAAGTTGTATCTTCTTGACGTATGTGTATTAGGTTGCCTCCCAGGTCGTATAAAAATATTTGTCCAAGATGTATTCAGTAGTTCCTGAGGTTAATCTTCCAAGAACTAGGTAATTACTTGAAAGTGTTGTCTTGTGTACCTTATCAAGAGACTGGTAATACAATGAAGTAAAGCTTATCTATGGTGGAACTATGTTTAAGGATTGTTTAGACTCACTAGGTAAAACTTGTCAATGACTTGCTGTTAATTGTCATTCAATATATTTCCCTGTAAATATATATAGGTGCTGAGGAACAAATTCTCAAACTATTCCTCTAAGATTTTTGATGTCCTCAGCACTTTCTAAGTGTGTGCTAGTGCCCGAGCAGTTTCAAAATCTCAAACTGAATAGTTCATTATTTGAATCTTTCTTCAAAGATTCAAATATTAGTGTTGGTAGCTAGCATCAACAGAAGTTAGCTGTTGGCAGACTGCTATCCTTATGCAGATCTTTCTCATTTACAACTACATGTGAGAGGGGAATCCACACGTAGTTTTCCGTATCACCTGTTGTAGGTTATTCTGATAGTTGAGAAGTCAGTATTCTCAAGCACATGTCCAATATAGGACACAAAATTATTCTAGAAAGATAAAGAATACATTGCAAATCCCTTTCCACAAGTAAATTAATTTGTGCTGATTACTCCTTTGTTTTCATGGCAAAAGCTGGCCCCCTCTGTCTTCTTTTTGTTAGAATCACCAGATCGCCTGTAACCATTTTTGTAGTATTTGCATTAATTCTGCAACTCTGTAACAGGAGTAGAGCAGCTGGAATGCTCATACTTGTAGAAGCTTGAAATCACCGAAAATCAGTGGCGGTATGTATTTGAGAAGACATGTCTTTCAACTGTTAACAAGGTCCCCGACAGCAGAAGTTTACACTGAGTAGATAACATCTAACTCTGGTATGCACTCATGATAAATAAGACTGCAAGTCCTGCAGACATCCTGCAGCACCCATGTCTTTGTGGTAGCAATAGCCCCAGCACGTACATATCACAAGCATGCAGTTAGACCGACACGCACGGTGAACAGTGAGTTTCACTGTGTTATTTACATGTGACTTAGGCATGTGGTTTTTATCACTTTGCATTTCCATTAGAAGGAAATGGTTTAGCAGTATACTGTGGTAACAGGCAGGACGGCTGTGGTCTAACTGTCCTCAGTTTATCACCCATTTTCATCGCAGCCCACCTCCTCTGAACCAGTTGTGACTGGTTCAGTTTACAGGGGTTTTCCACTAAATAACTAAACCTTCCTGTTAACAAACGCCCCAGCAACCAGAAGCCTTTCAAATCCACATGTCCTCTAATTCAGACTAAGTAAATAAAAATTAAAAACTTAGTATCAGCAGTATGTGTCTGTATAAATAAAATTCAGGGGCATGTGAGCTGCTGCAGATGTAAAACCTGCACCCATGTATTTGAGAAACCCCAGAAATTGTGAAGTAATAGATATGCCCAGCATGGTTTAGGGTCGCATGTAGGCAGGGAGTTTTGTGCAAAAAGCTTAAGAAGCTGTGTTTTCTCTCTGTTTCCCTGTGCTGCATGGACAGCATCTTTCAGTTTCATGTATGAGAGAAGTGGACTTGGGAATCATTTTAGTGAAAGAGCTCTTGGTTCATTAAAGCAATCAAGTGTTTCTCTAGCAGAGATAAAGTTAGGGGAGACCGGAACAGTAATAATAATGATGCTACCGAAATCTACAGTAATTGCATTCAAAAAATACTTTTATAGCTATTTTATTTCACTTTGATTGGAACCAAGCCTTAACAAATAATAGCATGGGATATCAGCTGTTTCTCAGAGAGTTTGACATCTCACATCTTTCTTGGCATTAAAGAGTAACATGACACTGAAGGCAGTAATTAGATACACTTGCTTCAATATGCAGATTGTAAAATAGCTTGTAAGATATTCTGTTAGTAAAATAGCTGTGTTTGTTAGAATTGAGCCTGACTTATGTTGTCCTTCCCTTGCAAAGGAGTGAGCCCTAGAAGCAGTCCTGTTGTAACAGCACTGCCTTTCCCCTTGGCTTGGCTTAGCTCTGATAGAAAAGGAGTAACGAGCTAGCTTTTATTGTTCCGTGTAAAAGTTTTACTGTTTAATACGTTGAAAAACAGAAAACTGATGATTTTAAGGATTTTTGATTTATTAAGGCATTGATGATAAACAAGAAATGAATCAGGTTTTCTAGCCATCTTGGTACATGCTGTGGAAATGCTGGAGAACAAACGCAGGCCTCCCAAATGCACCTGGAGGAAAGCTTTTATTGCCCTCCATGTCACTGCTGACACAGGGAGTGTAAATGCTGCAGGCACCGATCTCCAAACTTATGGCAGTGTTTTGCCCCAGACTGAGCAGATGCTTTACCCCAATATATCTACTTCTGATTTTTCCACAAGAATTTGAAAGGAATTGAAATTTGTGGAACTTGGAGATGAAGCGTCCTAAGTCCAACATCTAAGAATTGTGAAATGCTTTCTATCTATTGTGAAAATACTTTATCAAAACTTCAGATTTAAGGTTTTGCTCAACTTAAAAAGGTTCCTCTAAACAAAGTGATGTTTGTGATCACTACAATTGTTTTATTTCTTTAAAAATACAATGTGCAGGTTGTCTGTCGCAATGCTGGTGTAGGGTCTATTGGATTTCTTCCATTTCTGTATGTGTGCACCTTAGAATTGCTTTTAAGCTCATCTAACATCTTAATTTAAAAATAGTATGTTCACTTTTTAAAATCAAGTTTAATTGACTCTTAAAGCACACATCACTTCAGAATATTTAAGTCCTGATTTGGTGGATACATGAGAGTTGCAATAAATCATTGAAAGTATAAATGAACAAATACTTGTGAATTTACAGTGCAGGAATGCTCCTAATTAAGCCTTAAGCGCAATGACAAAATGCATCTGTGCTATATATGTCAAAAGCCCTGTTACACTTCTAAACTTTTGCATGTATAACTACTGTTAGCAAGAGTACCTTTTTCATTCTACAGTACGGACCTCAGATTAAAATCCAAGGTATGTAACCTTACTCCTATTGCCCACCTCAGTTCAATACTCAGTTCAGTACAACCAGACTGATATAAAAACACTAGCAGTAAAGCAAAACAAGCCCTATGCACTAATACCAGAAAATTGTTTGGGGATTTTTTTTTTTTTGTTGTTACATCTCACACTGAGAGCAGGGGAGTCTATCTGAATAAGTACGCAGCAAAGTAAATTGAAGATGATTTTATACGCCTTTCCTACACCAGTATTTATGCTTTCTTTCCTTGGTGCTTGGTTGGAGCCCACGCTCTGTAGATGAAGAAGAGTATGACGAGATAGTACATGGAGCTCTTCAGAAGAAGGATGATGTACACTAAAGACGCTGTCCTGTGCATTAAGTGATCTGTAACAAACATAAGACAGAAAAGTCTTGTTTAATGTCAATATTGTGCAGCCTCCTAAAGAGGGGTAGAACTGGGACTGTGTAGTCTGTTGACTGCTGCAATTACATTGATTCCAGTGGACAGTGTATAAACACATGTGAGTCTGACTGTCCCTTGAGGGGGCTTGCACTGTAAATAAATTCTAGACTGCCTCTCAATGCTGCTGGGTTATTCTTCCCTGCAAAGGTAAGAACATAATTCTAGTGCTTCCAGCACTGATTACCGGTATCACTGTGTTCACTTGAATCCTTTTGTGCTGGATTTTTGAACATAAGTGCACATGATTCTTCCTAAATCCCTGTTTAAACTAATTGAAAATGTATTTGTCTGAAGTGCTGGGCAATTGCTAGGCTGGTGGAGCATCAGCTGAAGCACTGAGCATTTAGCTACTTCAGGTATTTAAAGAAGTGGCACTTAATGCTGGCTAATAATCCAGTAGCCCAAACAGTATCTGTAGCATCCTAAGAAAGCTCCTGGTAAAGCTACCTAGTAAATGCAGGAGAGCCCCTTCTTGTAATTCACAATAGAAGTTAATTCAGAGTAGCACTGAAGAGTTTTAAATTACAGACACAAGACTTAAAAGTTTTACTGTACATTATTTAGAAAGATCATTTTCATGATGTTCTGAGCACATGCAACAATATCTAACTCTCGCATGACATGCATCACTTTCTGACACATTTTAACACATTTTAATTACCTCTATTAAAAACTGTGCCATTTCCAGGATATGTAATGCAGTCCTCTGCCGGAAGAGCAGTCTTCCTATAATCTAATGGAAAGAGAGTTCAAATGCCCCAATTAGGCCTTTCTTTAATTTTAACCAGCATGAATTGAGAAATAAAGAAAAAAGAGGTAGTACAGCGACACTGAAATGGGAAGTTAGCATTAAACAACAGAAAACAAGATGTTTAGGATCTGTCTGCAGAGAAAACGTTCACAAGTAGGATTCATTTGCAGAGAGAATCTGAAAGGGGGAAATGCTTTTTGGGGTGTGAAGGGGTATTTGTTGCCATAAGTGGTAGGTTTGCCTTTTCTTTTGAAAAATGTGTCCGTTAGGCTGTTTATTCCTTGGCAGAGTCTCTTTGATTTATAACTGCAGTCAGTTTGACCACCTGATGTTGTCACTGAAGTAACTGAGGTCTGTTTGCCTTCACAACATACTGTTATTAGAAATGTAGAAAAAATTTACATTGGAAGAGACCTCAATTAGTCTGTTATTTAATGGTTGCTCAACACTAAAGAATAATGTTGAGGAGAGTATGATCTAAGGTTCCTCTATTTGCTATTTTGGTTGTGGTTGTTCTCTGAAATAAACCCTTTTTGTGCTTGAAGCAGTACATTTGTGTTTGTTCTTGGTTATGGTGTTTGCATGCAGTGATAACATGGGCTTAAAGACACCCGTATTACATCCCTGAATACATCCTCCATCTAAATAAATTTAAGGCGTATTTTTGTTGGAATATATTTTGAAGGTCAAAATGTAATGGCTAATGCTCTCACTCATTGGAGTTACATTAATTTATAGTAAGTTGAACAGAGTTAGGTACTGAGAAAAGATTAATCTAAGCCAATATAGGCAGCTTTTCTTACAGATATTACCATGATTTAAACAACTTGCATTGATTATAGGTTACTTTTAAAAATTGCATTGTCTTTCAGGTGTTGCTTTGCATAATCAATCTTTCCACAATTAAATGAGATATTTTATTTTCATACATGGTTGTTACCTCAGTGTGGCTGCACTATGAGCAAGTAATAGATTTAAACTCTGCTCTACATCCCCATCAACCTTGTTTTTAACTCCTCGTTTTTTTATAGCTGTGACTACTGTCAGGAGTGCCAGAAGGACTTACACCTATAAGCCATAGGCAACAGAGAGGTAATACTGTTTTCAGAAACTTCTCTAAATGGGATAGCAACCAACACGGCTCAGGGCAGACCTTTCGGAGCTATGCTAGTTTACACCTGATGAGGTTCAAGAACTGCTCTTTTCTGAATACAAAGGGATGTTCACTTGGGGAGAGTAGTACAGGCTGGGTTGCTTGTCCTGGGAAAGCTTTGGTAGTTTCTCCAGATGCATATTTCAGCTACTGTTGTGCCAAGGAGAACAGATGCTTTTAGGAACAGTAGTAGAAAGCATTAATTCTACAATTATATTGCAAAGAAAAAGTGATGTCTATAATAATAAGTAGAATTAAATTTTTAACATGTAGTGTATACCTTGTGTTGGCAGTAACTGCATATTGCTTCCGTGCTCGTATTTGCAGTAATAATTCTTGTCTTTGTTCTTCTCTGGTACGGTTAACCAGCTGCCAATTGAGTACATATCCTCGTCTGCGGGCTTCCAAATCTCTCCTTTTACTACGTTTTCTGTTACCTCCTTATCTTTTTCATCGGTCCATGTCACCCGAATAACTTCTGGGTAAAATTTCTCAATAAGGCAAACATATATTATCTGATTTTCATGTTTCTTCCATATGATTTCAGAGGTTTTCGGTGAAGAATTTCCTTTGTCTGGATACAAAATAGAGAGTTGGAAGATCAATAGTGTACAGCAAATAAATAAGCATCCACAAAATGCAAATTCTGAAGAGCAACAACCTAAACGTCTTATTAACAAATGCTTTAACTCTCTGATTTGTTATGAGATACTTAGGAAGGGAATATAAATGACTCATGTATGAAAGGAATTTTAGGTAATAGGATGGATGAATTACAGCTGTTTCCACCCTTGAAGTTAGTATGTTTTTGGTGAGCTCGAAAAACCTGGCATTCAAACACATATTAAATATTATTTCCGTGGACCCAGATGGCAAGTTTTAATTTTCAGTCAAAAATAGTCACAATACTATTTAGAATAATTTGGAATGAAAAATATTATTGTAACCTTATTTTTGAGTATATTATTTTATAGAGAACTGAAATGATTAGAAGCTTTTATGAGTATGGTACAGAAAATCAAGCTCAAAATCAGAAGACAAGACCCTATTAAAATATTCTAAACTAATTTTTATTTGGACAATATCACATCTTCCAGAGGCTGGAGAATGTTTAATCTAAGCTTTGGCACTGTGCCATGGGCATGGAGAAACATTATTTAAGTCCTAAATTGTTTAGTGAACACTAACATCTAGACTGCTTTGTCCATGCTTCTTGTCAAGCAACGCACCTGGTAGAGGAAGATACTTCTACTCAAAAATGTTTGAAACACTATTTTTGAGAAAAGTTAAGAAACTGAAATATCATTAAAGATATTAATAATCTCCCTTGAAACTGAGATAGAATACTTCGGGTGACTACATGAAAGCCCATATCCCACAGCCTTCCAAGTAGTACTGCTGGCAGAAAGTGTATCTGTCTGCATAAGTCTCTGACAATTATTAAGTAATAGTAATAGTTCCTGAAAGAGCTTTGTTCATTTATTTGATAAGAGGAATTTAATATTGCTTTATGATGTTTATGCAAAAACAAGTACATGAAAATTTTGTCTACGGAATGTTAAAGGTAGACCAGCTTTCAAATCTTTGCAGTTTTATGTCCCCAGTATAAGTCCTTGCCGATAATTAATGAGCATCTCCTAGATCTAATTAATTTTTCAAAAGTTTATATTAATTATGTGATTGGGGGGGGGGAGGAGCAAAAAAAGCAACAAAAATTTATTGTTGCCATTTTTTGGAAGACATTCTATGTATTTTCCAGTTGAAGATCTTGATAAAGATAGGAAAATTAAAATTAAAAAATGCTCTGGACCCCTAATGCTGGCATTGTTGTTCCTTTAGTACTAGATTTGTTCAGGTGTTTGAATTAACACCTCTGAAATGGAAAAAACAAAACTAAGCTAAAGCAAAAGAACATGCAATATCTAGATAACATTTCTATATTCAGGTAACATATCAATCCATACCAGGGTTGTTTTAGGAAATGCGCTTTGTGAAACAGGCTCAGTGTGTACCTACATGAATATATTTCAAATGAAAAGTGAGCCGTTGCCACAAGCTAACTGTAGGTAATCTCCATTTCATTTGCCTCTCTGGATTAAACCTTATGTTATTAGGAGGAGTCAAAATCATCCAGATTTTGTCCACACAGAGAAGACATTTTGATATTGTAGAAGTGGATAGTAAATTTAAGAGCCTCTTCTAGTTAAATGTGAACTTCTGCAGTGTATGCATAGGCAGTGTTCATGGGCAATCGTTTTTGTCTATGCTTAATTGCAAGTGAAAACTAGATACAGTTTTCAAAATTGACTTCTTGTATAGCAGGTACTGCTTAAGACTATTTTTCTTAAGGCAGCAGAGAGATTTTAGGTGTTTGTCTCCTTACACCACTTTTTCTCTTTAGATCCCTATGTAAATTTCCAACACTGACTTTGAGCAGCGAGATGCACAGGGTTTAAAGTGTGGTCGCGCTAAGTGGTGCACTTTTCATACATGGTGAAAAAACACATTCAGATAAACATGTATTTTTGTCAAAAAGCTTCCACCTTTCTTTAAATGATCTAGCTATTCTAGAGCAACCTTCTACATTGCATTCCCCCTAGAACAAATTAGTGTTTCTTTGAAGTATTTAATACTTGGTGTTTAAAACCAGAGATGACCAAAGCATAAGGCTGTCTACCTTCAAAAGATAACCGTTATGTTATGAATTTCCTTCGTTTTAGAGATTTGTCACTGAACTGAAGAAGTGGACTAAGTTCTGTTGTACCAGAAATAAAAATGCTAACAATTTTATGGTTCTCTAACATTAATCTGGTCATTAATTTTATCTTCTTTAAGCATCAGTTCTCACAGGGATGCAAGATTAAACTAATTTCTGAAATTATTTATTTGCTCCAGAGTTGTATATGTTCAGAAGACCACTATGTAGTTTCTGTTGCAGTGACATTGCACTCTGCAAAGCTGCATGACTATTTCAGATGTTTCTCTTAGATTTCCAGTGCTTAGTAGGTTACCCTGACTATTTTCAGTAGGCTAAAATTTAATTGTCTACTTTGATGCTGGATTATCAAATCTCAATAGAAAGGCAGAGAGATGCTTCCAGCTGCTAGTTCATCCTGCCCATTTTGGAGACTTCTATTAAGATGGACTAATTTCCACCTCTGGAATTGCCAATGTCTTTCCACTTACTGTAGAAAGACCCTAGGTGCTTAGCTTAAATGAAACACTTAAATCATATCACAATAATGGGGAAACACATTGCTTGAATAACTGCAACTGTGTGCATGCATGGGAGAGTCTCATGTGCACACATAGGTAAATGGATGACAGTGGAGAACTGAACAAATTAAGTTTTGCATATATACACGTCTATATATTCTTTTCATGCGGAAAAAAAATAAATATATCTCCATAAACTGTAGGTATGTTTATGGAAGAAAGGATGAAAACTTGTAGACTTGACTGTAGATTTTGATCTGTTTTCAGGCTGATCTGTAAAGTCCTTGAAGTCAACCAGACAGTTTACAATGTACGTAAACAGATCATTTACTGGGCAAATAATCTGATCCTTTCTGAAGAATTTAGAACTCCACTGTCTTTTTTGTTTTAGTTAAACTTCAAATCTTTTACTGTTTACTTTGTTAAACAGTTTTCTAAGGCAGGTTTTAAGAGGTACGTAGGTCTTACTTTTTAAAATAATATATAAGCACATGCAGATATTTCTTAAGCCAAAATCTGTCTTTTCTCTCTTGTAATAATGCAGTGAGCCTGCAAAACATTGTGCAAATAAAATTCTGGAGTTAGGCTCATAATCTATGAGCTATTAATGGATTTGGGTTCAAAATATATGTTTTTATAGATTAACCGTTAAAAGTTTTCTTAATGAAACTCCCTTACGGTTTCTTTATAAGTATCTCTAAATGAGATTTATAAATAAGGGCAATGTGTTCTTAAGCTGAAATTTTAATTCTCGTTACTTGGATGATCCTGCAAAATGGAGTAAATTTGTCCAATATTCAACGCTCCTCAGTTCTCCCCCAAGCCAGTGGGAGCTGAGAGCACCCAGCACACCCAGCTCACTAACAGCGCTCCTGTCCTGCTTGCCAGTGACTTCAGGTGTTATCATAGACAGTAACACAGTATAGTCCTGACCTACTGTGAGCCTCCCCAGCCACCTTAAAGAGCTGTCAACCTTCACTCCAAAGATTTCCCATTACAACACTTCAAAAAAAAAAAAGTATTTGGAAACACTTACTGGTGACGATGAATTTTGTGCCAAAAACAAATATCCTTTTGAAGCCCCACTGGTATACTCCCATACAGAAACTGCTTGGGATGTTTTGGCCAGACAAGGACCAGATTTAACAAGCGTCACATGAACAATTTGACTACATGAATGTAGAAAATTTTAATTCAATATCTCAGCTAATGCTGCTGTTCCCAAAGAGCCTTTAGTGATATGTACTTTACATTCAGTTTCAAGTTAATCTTAGCTGTCACTTCTTTAAAAAATTATCAAAACAAACCAAAACTGTTGTTGTCTGGGGCATTGATTTTGCTACTATATTTCCTCCATAAAAAAATTATTTTTTTCCAGGATGGTGAATGTTTTTGATCACATGGTTTAAAAATATATGCATGCTAGACCACTGTTTAACTGAATTAATGAAAGACAGTCCTGAACAGCCATGACTCCTCTCAAATCTAGTGGAAGGGCATTTACTCATTTTGGGCCTAATCCTCTGCATTACAGGTTACTGTAATCTGCTTAAATGGAGGCAGGATCAGGACTGTTCACCCTCAGATCCTGCCACACTTGCCTGTGCAGTGCTATTGCAGGTACCACCAAAAGGAAACATCACTCGTGCATCTCCGTATGCTGTAGAGAAGCACCAGCATCCACCATTCCCGTGCATGTCCTTCCCCAGGGCCTTCTGGCTTCTCCCCAGGGAAAACCATGTGCACCTTGCTGGAAATCTTGCCGACGCTGAAACCAATGGCAGCATTTCCAAATGTCCAGGATTTCCTCCCCACTTTTTAATTTTCTGATTATTTATTGCCTGCCTGCAGCTAACTGGTGCTGTGGTGCATCCAAGAGAGCTCAGTTCCTCTTGGCTTGAACAAATCAGCTTTATTAGGACAAATCCATGGGGGAAAGACCTTCCCTTTGACCAAGCAGAGAGATGCAGAGCATCAGCCATGGTTTAGGGGATTTGCTGGAACTCACAATGTTTTCCTGCACAGCACCTCTATTCCCCCTGCTCTGAGGCCAAGGAGCGATCTACAGCCACGTTTCTGAGTTATTCAGACCCTGCTGCTCTGGGCAGCAAGCTTTGCACAAGGGAATGACCTGATGTATTCCTAAGTATCCAAAATAAGTTATATTTCAGCATTTTATGGTTTTTGTGAAGTCCTATAGGTTACCCTGACCTCTCTTATACCAGCATTTGGGTGCTAAAGAAATGAATTCTGCTACTGCAAAGTCCACATCAATTTTCCGTATTATATTTTTAAATCTGAATTTTGATCTGTATTATAGTTTTTAATAGGATATCACATTCCCTCTCCTCTAGATTTTGGATTATCAGAATAAGGCATATTTTCTTACATACTAAAAAACTTACCAGAAACAATAAGCTTTGTGCCTGTTCCGAAGACTTTGTCATAGTCACTGTGTACAAGTGCTTTACAAAAACACACTTTGTCTCAATGTTTTTAAAACCTTTTTGTGTCCCAGACTAGTCTCATTTTCTTATTAAAAATGCACCTGTTTTTTTTTGACACTCTGGTTTCCATAATTAAAATTTTCCTTACAAGATCATGTATGTATGAACCTGTGTTTGCTCATGCAACAGATTTCACTTATATTAATCTTTCAGATTTAAATAAATAAGCTTGCACGTATAAAAAGCCTAAGGATTTGTAATACTGACCAAATTAGGATGGAGTCCTAATTTAACAGCGGGCATTTAAAAACACAGAAATATTTAAGCAGATCCTGTGCACCTGAAATCTGTAATTTTATAGACTGAGACTTCTACAGCATCCCCTGGGGTTTCTGTGGAAAATGTGAGGAACAGTAAAGGTTGTCACCTTGAAAACATGGGAAATAATACATTTACATATGTATGCATGTACAGCTGTGTGTGAGTATGTATCCTACAACAAGAACCTAACGCTGCACGCTATCACCAATTCAAGCTGATCTTTTTGGGCCATGGCTTTAGGATGACAGAGATCATTATTTCACACTGAAACCTGTTTGTGAACGTTGCCTTAAAAGAATAGAATACTGAATTCATCTTCATGACTATGAAATCCTTGATATTTTAAAGCCATTAACAAATGTTCCTATTAATATTAATTATGGTAAGAGGCTTTCACTGCCCAGATTTCTTTTGAGTGGCCACATCTTCCCTTATGTCTTATAGCTCCATCCTTCTGTCTTAACACTTGTTTGGACTTTTAAGTCTACTCAGTTTTGATACAGGGCTTCACATTTTTCCCCATTAAAAAAAATACAAATGCAAATTAATGTATATGTTAATCTTCACTATTTTGATTTAAAAAGGCAGAATGTCAGCTTAATCCAACTTCAGGTAATGTAAAATAAATATAATCTGTCTTTAGGCAACATATATTTTATAATAAATAATTGCAAAAAAACAACTGTAGCTTTTTGAACTGTGAACTTCAATGCATTTGATGAAAACAAGGTAGATACTTCAGTAATATTTAGGAGATAGCATTTGAAGAAATCAAATACTGCTGCCGTAATTTCTGCTATGAAATAATTTCCTGAAAATGTTAGTAGATTGTTCTTTTTATCACTTCAAAATAAGTTAGCAATATGCTTGTGAGTTGCCAGGGAGACCCAGCTGCAGCTGCAGCTGGAGATGGCAGAGGAGAACCAGCCCCGCACTGGCTAAGCAAGCCACTCTGCTTCTGTGCTGAAGGAAAAAAAATGGATTTGGAGAGGCTGGTTGAGTCTTTGGTTGAGTCTCAGCTTCCCTGTTGCAACCTTGTGAGTGCCTAAATTCCCTGGAAAGATACATACAGAAGAATCCTGTATTGCCAGTTTATGTTGGATTAATATTCCTGTTTTGCTGTAAGCTTCTAAAACCCCATCTAGTCCAGCAAATGCAAATGCCAGACCAGTCTCTCAAATCCCAGCCCTTCTGTTACCTGCATTATTGTAAGTCTCAAGCAACTTTCTTTTGGTCAGATCTAATTAAAAGAGACCAACAAGAACAAAATCAAGTTCATTACAAGTTGATGGGAGTTTGGCTCTTTATATATTTGACTCTTTCAGTATAGATCTGGGAAAAGTTTCTGCTCAAGCTCAAACCATGATGATTCAATTGAATTAAGGTCACTTATACTAAGTCCTGGTTTTCTATTATTATTCTATTATATCTTTCCATTAGGAGTAACTTATTGAGCTAGTGTTGGATAGTCACATCTGAACAGACAAGCCGTGATTAGACGCCTGATCTTAAGAATGAGGGAACTTCAGCTCTTTAATAATCAGTCAAAAGCCTTGGCCAGATAAAGACAAAATCCTACAGAATTAGAATAATGCTTGAAAATAAGGTATTTTAAACTGTAGATACTAAAAGCATAGCAACCACCTGATTAATAAGGTAAGGATTTTCACTAAAAAAAACATGCTTATCCTGACACAGATATTTCTATTGAATTCTAGTTATGATTTACTTAGTCTTTCTGACATAGATTACTAAAAACAATCTTTGCTTAATATGCTAATAAAAGTTTATATATTTAACCAGGCTTAAATCATTTGGTAACAATCACTCCTCTGTCTTGTGTTTGTGTAGTTGTTTACTCCAGGATTATGGTGTTTAAAGCACATTTAATGGGAAAAAGACGATTTTTTTTCCCTCCACTTTCTATTAAAATAGATGTCTACAGGAAAGACAAAAAAAATGGATCACTTCTTCATATGCATGTAATTAAACAATAAGAGCATTTGGTGGCACCAATTTATTTCTACTGCCAAAGTGCTGTGTACATGACAAAAATAATTATGGACAAGTTATTCCACTTCTACTAACCTAATTAAAAAAGGATTTTGGCAATGGCCATTGCATATTGCTCTTTGTATCTCTATTGGGAAGAGGTTTTCTCTTTTTATGCTTAATTCACAGCTGCTTGATTCCCTACTTGTTCCTTTGGTACAGCTGGAGGAAACAATGAGGTCTCTGGAAACTACTACAGGCCATTTTCCACCAAGGGGAGCCTGATCAAAAGTGGCTCAAAATAGCTCCTTTTCAGAAATGTTTGTGGTCCTAAACCACTGGGTTACAAGTTCAACAAGGCTTACTGTAGGAATGACAGGCTGGGGAGGGGAATCCTGCACAAGGATGGTGCCAACTGAGGCTCTAAGCGGGCTGAGTGCCCTCTGGGACACTGTAACACTCATCTATATGATGACTGAGCTCCTATAGCTTATTGTATGGAAAATAGCATGTAACTTACCTGACACAATGAGTTTTGTACCGGAGCCGAACACCTTACTGTAATAATCAGTCACAGTGAAAGAGGTCTTTGCAATAACAATACAGCTTTGTTATCTTTATATGTATAATTAGTATTCTTTAAAGAAAATCAGGTTATAAGAAAATCAGATGTCTAATCAATTTTTAGACCCTAGAAAAATAAAAAAAGGAGCAGTCGCCTACACAAAACAAAACAAAAAAAAAAAGGTGCAGAGGTTTTTGAAGACATGTATGTTGTTAAATGGACAGGATTCATCTCAACTAATTATAGTGTTCTGAAAGTTTAGATGGATGGTGGAGATCAAGCACCTTGGCTCGGTCTCTGCTTTCTGGAGAGAAGCAGCACCAGCAGAGGATCTATTTGATCAGATATTGGCCAATTAATTTTCTCCTTATACACCCCCATAAAATCAGACCTAGAATCGGTGAACATTATGCTGAGATCTGAGCAACACACAATCCCTGACCAATATGTTTGTTGTCAGTAACATGAAGCAAAACTTTGCATGGATTGGAATCAAACCTCCCGCTAACCAGATACACCATTTTCAGATGGGCAAAATTAAGCAAATTGTTTTCATCTCAGGTGCTTAGCTGAGCCGAATCACGGGCAAGTAGCAAAGCACCTGAAGTTTACTTGAAGCAAAATAATTTTGATAAGCACGTCAAAACATTTTGAGTTTGGCATTATTCCTTAATAACAGTAATAATAAACTGATAATAAACGTTTTCTGCAAAAGCTAGGAAGAGAGAGCAGCCTTTCAACTATGCGTATCTTCTGACAGTTCTGGGCATAGCTCAGCTAACTCCTTTCATTTGGTATACTCAGACACAGTCCTAAAGGAAAATGTATTGCTTTTCAAAGAATTTGAGTAACACAGAGGCTTGACACTTTTCTTTCAGAACGAATTGGAAATATCACAGTGGCTGAATATGCACATTTAAAGACAAAAACAACTTTCAGTTCTCTGAAAGTTATCTTTGTTCTATTGAAATTAATGTTTAAAAAGAAAATAATAATGGGGTTAGCTATACATCTGTGCTGCAATAGTTGTTTTCTTCCCCCCATTTCATACATGAATACAAAACAATTGCATTGTGGAAGTGCTGTTTAAGAGGAAAATCCTGCAAAGCATTCAGTAGGGTTAAAACTAGCGGAAGCTGAAATAACGGAGCACTTTGTGCAGCTGGTATCTAACTGTATTGAAAAGTATTTCAGAGGTAGTTCATTTTTACATTTTTTTACTTACCTGAAACAATAAGCTTAGTTCCACTTCCAAACACTTTGACATCAGCATCCCACAGTCTGGTAATGCTTAGCAATATCTCCTGCATTACACTTTTCTTGCACAGGCGAGAGAAAGTCTCTCTGATTTAAAGGCTGGTGATAAATCTGGCCCAATTTTCAACATTGACTAGAGTGTTATTTTTAGAAATACTTTCATTTTTGTAGTGAGGAAAAAGTTTGGGTTTTTAAACCCAGCATTTCCTGAGAAGAAATCAATGCTGTGTTTATTTTATAGCTATGTTCTAATCCTCTTAGCTCTGGGATTTCTCTAACAAAGATCTGTTGCCTCTGGTCTGCTAGGTTTTCTCTGAAGTAATCTCTTTTTGCTGTTTTTAAGAAGTGCAGTTACATTTTTATTCCCAAAGGAAATTAAGAAAGTTTACTAGTTATTTATTGATTTAAATATTCAGGTAAACATTTTTTTTTTCCTAAGTGTCCTATCTTGTGTATTACTTATTCTGTGGAAGTACCTTAAGTAAAGTTTCATCAAACTCATATTTTGAAGCCCAATTTTTAAATGCAATGTTCATATTCTAAACAAAATTTACTGATGTCCATAGCTAAGTTCATGCCTTTAGTAATCAGTTACACTGTCATCTTTTTGTCAAAAGCAGCTGCCTCTTCATAGGCACAGTTTAATTGCAAATTGCAGTAGAGAACATTTTTGGACAGAGTCATAGATAACATCTTAAATTTCTCTGTAACCCTTCTCTGCTTTATATGAATTGACTTAATAATAGTCACCCTGATAATATATATTTTCTGAGCAATGTACTGTAGGTATTGCTCTATGCTTTATACTGAAAACAGCATTCATCGTATTGACTGCATAGCTTCACCACAGTTAAGAATAATACAAATGCAAAAGTAAATCAGTTACTTTCAGTAGGTCCAGGAACTAGACATTTATTACATACCAGGCAATTTTCCTTCCCCGTCAGCTTAGATTGAACCACCTCTAGCAATAAGAAGAAACTTTGCATTTCTCACTCGCTGTTCTGAGAGTAAACTTTCAAGCAGTTCACTTTTCTTTCCCAGAACAGGAATGACTCGATCCCAATATTTAAACTTTTACCTCTCTTCATTTTCCCATTCCCCCTTCATTAATAAGTATTCAGTAATTGTTCTAGAGGTCAATATATTTATTGCCCATCAACCCACTCAACTGGGGCACCATGCACAGTTCACAAAAAAACATGATTTATCAGGCAAAAATTATTTTTCCTACAGTATTTCATTCTTAATAATCCTGAGAACCTGAATGACTGTAAAAATCAGATCAATAGTAATGGTACTTACTAGAGACAATTAGCTTGGTTCCTGTGCCAAAGTATTTGATCCAGGTGCTCCACAATGTGTTTTGACTTTTCAATATGGTAGCGTGCTCTCTTGATATGCCATTGCTGAAGAAAAATCCCATTTATTTCCCAAACTGCGTGAAGGCCTGACCCTTGGCTGCTGGGAGGATGTCAGGAATTTCAGACTTGCATCTGGTTGTTCAGCTGATATCTCACAGCCTTTGGAGCATATCTCTTTCCTAAAGTGTTGCAGAGTAGTACAATAACTCCTCTGCTTAATGCCAAAGAATTAGGTGAAGGTTTCTCTTCAATTTTAGACACCCATTAGGTGCACAGGTTTGTGCATGTTAAAAACCACATACCTTCAGGTGATGATACTGCTCTTTCCCAAAGGGGTACACCCCACCTCTCACCTGCGATTAAGTGACATCAAGGACAATTAGCATGGATTTCATTTTTGGTTGGTTTAACGCAATTCAGCAAATGGAAAGGAGGGAGAGGCAGCACCATAAGCGTCGCGAAGGTGTCTGTGTGCTGCAGGTTTCATTTTCTGACCTCGGTGCACGGTTACTGTCTGCCCATCACCTGCAATCACTCCAGGCTCTGCAGCAGCAGCTCACCGGCAGCTTTCCATGCATGGGCGAAGGCGGCTTTTCCTTTGCGCACGGGTTTCTTATAAAACAGCCCGAGATAACATCAGAGGAGGCACCGCTGCTCTTGATCAAACAGCCTGCATGCTTAGTTTGTCATTTAAAAGAAACTGAGTTTGAGTACTTCTGGGATCTCGTGTGGCATATCGACTGCAAAACAACATTAAGAAATTATGATTTGTGCCTAGAGGGAGGAACTAGACCGAGGGTGAAAGTCTTTTGATTGAAGTAGGTGTAACAAAACCAGTCATCTGCTCTGAAGGCTCCTGGGCAGAAACATCATAATCACAAGCAGAAAGCAGTGTCAGGAGTGATGTAGGCAGAGAATGGTGCTTTTCCAGCCGTGGCCTTAGTCACACATCAAAGGAGGCCACCACCATCTCACCTGCATTTGCTGGGACTGCTGGACTGTGCTTATGACAGTGAGTAGCTGGGAGGTCTCATTAGAAGAAACAAAGTGGAACGCTGCATACTGCAGACAGCTTGTCTAACTCCTCTGTATGATCTGGGCTTGCAAGTGTGAGGAGGACAAAACTGACCTATGGCCATTTGGAGACCTAATACATATTTGAAATGGTTGTGTCACTTTTTCATCCCATCAGACTAATATTCTTTAATGAGTTACACTTCAATGAACCAAGTGAGGAGAGTATTAGGGCACCACAGTAAAGGAAAATATTAAGGAGAGGACTGATGGTAGAGAAAAGCCTCTGTGGATTAATTTCTCATGCACCTTGAGGAGATAGCTAGGAGGGATGCATTGCATACGAAACTCAAGAATGAAAAGTTGTTCTTAACTATTTAAATCTCTTTTCTTTGGTACTAGCTTTGGTAAGTGTCACCAACTTTTTGGGTGATTCAGGTGCAACACCAGTGAAATACAGACAGTGATAAAGAAGAAGTTGGAGAAAGGGAATGATATAGCAAAAAAAAATCCCCCCCAAAACCCCAGAACAAAAAACCCCAAAACAACAAAGATGTCCACCTCCAGATCTCAGGAGGAATAAATAGAAAATCTTCTTCCTCAGATAGCTACTAACTTGTAAGTGAAAATAACACTGCTTTTCCTTTACTTAAAATTTTACAAACCTTCAGGCTAAAGCTTTCTATTTCAGTTTTCTTTGTCAGGGAAAAGGCCTTGAAGAGCTCCCGTCCCACAGGCGAACCTATTTCTAGGAACAACAATAAGGAAATGTGCTCCCTTTCTGTTAAATAAATCCTTGCAACCAGTTTGCTGACATGCTTGAGCAAAAAGAAGGAGACAGTGGAATGGAGAAGATGGGATAGGTGTCGGACCTTCACTGATTTCTTTGCTCTAGGCACTTGTTCCGTGAAAATTTCTAGGTTTTAGCTGCCGATGCTTCCAAGACATGTCCTGCTTCTCCAGAGCCTACGCCTGAGGCCAGGCAGCTCATCCACGCCAAGGGATGTGAGCTGGGATCCTTCCAGCTGCTTGTGGTTGGGATGCTGGAGGAGTGTTTGTCTCGGCGATCTCTGAGTTCCTACAACAGTAACTATGCCAGTAGGTGCAATAGGAGGTAGCAGTGTCATCCAGAACGACATCACTGATTGTAAGAATACACAGTTTCTGGCTAGAAACTTTTTCAACCGTGTACCTATATGCTCGGAAGCCATCACCTACTATTTTTGTTGCTCTTAAGTAGAGCATCCTCACCGAAGCTTTATTTGCCTTCTGTTGATACCAGTATATGATGATGCCACCAGAATATCCATAGATGCCTTTAAAGTGACATTCTGGGTGCACACTTCCTTTAGACTTGGTGATGGACAGAGGTCTCTGCACAGGAATTTTTTGTACATATCCATCTAGGGAAAAAAATAAGTGGAATTATATCATTAGCTGGAAATCAAGGATGTAGGAAGGTGCCTGTGAGCACAGCCATGGGTGCCTGTGAGGAAAGATAAGAAAATAAGGCCAGACTTACAAGACCAAGTGGCTGTGGCCACAAGTGCTGCCAGGAGCATCATGTTTGCTGGTCACGTTCCGCTGTCATTGGGAGTCAGAGGAGGGAACGGGCCCTGGTGCAGCGTGAGCAACACCACATGGGAGGAGGAGGGGACTCCCTTGGGTGGCAGCTGGTGACACTGTGCGTCAGGCCAGAGGAACGTGTCCCCTGAGCTCCTGAGGGGAGCAGTGGACATGAGGGAGCAAGTGGGAAGGGAAGGGAAGGGAAGGGAAGGGAAGGGAAGGGAAGGGAAGGGAAGGGAAGGGAAGGGAAGGGAAGGGAAGGGAAGGGAAGGGAAGGGAAGGGAAGGGAAGGGAAGGGAAGGGAAGGGAAGGGAAGGGAAGGGAAGGGAAGGGAAGGGAAGGGAAGGGAAGGGAAGGGAAGGGAAGGGAAGGGATGCCACATGCTCCGACAAGGATGAGATCTGCTTCAGCAAGCTTTCTGTCACCACAACAGGACCACAAGGGAAGGATCCCTGAGAAAAACATCAGTGCTGACTGCAGCACTGCAAGTGTAGTAGTGATGGATGCTGGAAGCCACTGCACGTGAAAGGCAGAAAACAACAAAAAATAAGAACGATTCACTGAACTAAAGGGAAACCCTTTGGAAAACTGCTGTGATATCCTATAAATAAAGACAGCATGTGATAGTACCGATTTCTGGCTGGGAGTTGTGTGTCACATCGCTGACTAGCCCTGAAGTTGCCAACAGGATTCAGTGAAATCAGTGAGCACTTGCCTGCCTAAACTTCACTTTGTGTTCAAAGCTTTTAGGATCTGAGGTTGCTGGTGCTTGGTGTTGATTTGCACCTAGCCCGATCTTCTTTCTAAAGTCCCATAGCTCATTCTGTGTGACGGTCCAACATTTCAAGTATCCAATTATACTCTTCATCAAGTGAAGAAAAGCTGATGAGTGGGCACATACTTGGCTAAAGGCACAAACAAAAATTATTGCACTCAGACTCTTCTGTGACATGCTTGCTGTGCCCAGAGCCATATACTGCAAATTTGAAATAAGTCCATTAAACCTGACAGTTTCAGCAAATCTCCTTTCTTCCAAAAAATCCTGTTTGCTTTAACATGAAATGAAATAAGAGGATGGTTGTAAGCAGCACATCATCATCTGTGGTAGATGAGAGACTGTAAATCTCTGATTTAAATTGGCCTGTGAGGGATTTTGCAGTATCCAAATTAGGTAAACAATATTTCCAGGGACTTGCGGTTGCTTACATGTACAGCAGGGAAGAAGAAGTGGGGAACATACAGAGCTTTCTCTTAGAAGTGCTAGGTGGTGGCAAGCATATGATCCCACCATCAAGGTATTTTCTTCAGCATGTTCTCTTTCTTCTACAACAGTGGCTGAACTAGAAAGTCAATGCAACATTTGGTCCCCTCAGGGGCCACCGGACTTCTGCCATGGCTGTGCAAACAACGCCAAAGGAGCAGATGACTTTCTAGTATTTATGTGCTAAGTCTTAAGGCAGTGAAGACTTCCTTTGCCCTTAAAACAGTAGATGTGTGTTTGAACACCAGTGTGTTATTGGCAACCCAGACTTTGAAAAGGACAGTTGTGCAGGGTTAGCTGCTCTTTTTGGGTAACAAAAAAAGGTTTGGCTTTTCTGTAGCTGATACCAGATGGAGCGAGAAGACCAGAGGAGTGACATGGGTACAGCCTTGTGGTTCAGAGATTGAGGGAGGTGAGGTTTTTACCTTGATGATCTTTGAATTTCTATCACTGTGAGGATCCCAGTAGGCACAGTAGTAAGTAGCAGCATCATCTGGAATTACATCGCTTATTCTAAGAATACACAGTTTCTGCGTAGGAACAGTTTTAACGATGTACCTATTTGTTTGAAAGCCACCTTCAACCGTAGTTTTCCCTCCTGAAAAGAAGAGGAGCCTCTCTGGAGCTTTACCCTCCTTCTGTTGATACCAGTGTATGACGAGGCTTTCAAACACTACTGATGATGCTTGAATTTCACATGTCATCTGTGCACTTTTTTGAAACTTGGTGGTAGATATAGGGCTCTGCACAGGAATTTCTTGTGCAAATCCATCTAGGAAAGAGAAAAGGAGAAATGATGTTATTAGATGGAATTTAGGGATTTGGGAAGATGCCTGTGAGCACAGCCATGGGTGCCTGTGAGGAAAGATAAGAAAATAAGGCCAGACTTACAAGACCAAGCGGCTGTGGCCACAAGTGCTGCCAGTAGCAGCATGTTTGCTGGTCACGCTCCACTGTCGTTGGGGCGTCAGAGGAGGGTGAAAGGGACCCCAGGTGGGGACAGCGTTGTGTGGGAGGAAGAGGCAGTCACCTCCCTTGAGAGGTCTCCAGCAACAGGTCTTCTGTGTGCAAGCAGATGGAGCACATTTGCCGAAAACCCTTGCCAGGCTGGCAAATGCTAGAAGGCTGTAGTCCTGTCTGGTTTTCAGGTAAATATGAGAAACGTTGGCAAATCCAAGGATTGTGGCCCTTGTAAAACGAGCCAGAGCCGCCGAGGAAGGGTTGTGAGTGAGAGCAGCGCCAGCTGTGTCTCGGGGCATGAAGGTTTCAGCCCGGAGGTCGCCCCATGGGCGGTGAGTGCGTGCCGTCACCCGGAGGGGTGAGAAGGGGTGTACAGGGCCCGGGCGGGGGTTCCCCACCCTGTTAGGGACCTCCTCTTGCCGCCTCAGCCCAGCCACCCAGCTGCGGCACACCGGAGCGCCCAGGGTGCCCCCGAGCCAGCCGGCGCTCCCCTCCACCAAAGCAGCCAGAAGGGCCATCAGCCTGCGGCGAGGGTGGAGGGGGGGGACGCCCCTCTGCTTTGCTTTCAAGGGCGGGAGGAAACGTAGAGCCACAGGGTTTCGGTTTTGAAGCTCCAATGAGATGTAAACACTTCTTGGAAAGAGAGACTGGAAAACAAAAGTGAGGCCCAGCATCTCGCTGAGCAGGGCTGGTGCCGCGGGGAGCTGCCCTGTGACCGGTGAGCCTGGGCTGCTCTTTGCTGGGTGTGAGGGAGATGAGCGGCTTCGGCCTCCCTCCTACTGGCCTCTGGCCACATGCAGAAAGAAAACAATGAGGACAGGTGGCTGACTGGCCTGGAAAGGTGGCCACGAGCGCAGGGCCACGGAGAGAGGCAGGTGAGGAGAGGCAGCCATCTCTGTGTGATGGCAAAGGGAAGGCCCCCTCTCTTCCCAGTAAATAACCGTGGAAAAGCCTGTTTAATCTTCTGTCAGGCAGCCCTGAGGGGGATGAGAAGGAAAAATGACTTAAGGACTGTCAGAATTCATGTTGGAGAAAGTTTGTGGAGGACTGTCTCCTGTGAGAGGGGGACCACGATGGAGCAGGGGGGAACAAGTTTCGGACACTCCCCTAGCCGAGCTGAGCCTGGGAAGAAGAGAGGGGTGGGGGGAAGGTGTTCTCAAGATGTGGCAATGCTTCTCACTGTCCTACTCTGTTATGTGTTGTTAGTGTCTGTAATAAATGTATGGTTTTTTTTCCTTCCCCTAACGAGTCTGCCTTTTGCTCGTGATCATAAAAGGGGGATTTTTTCCCCATCCCCGTCCTATCTCGAACCCCAAGCCTGGCTCTCTGTCCCTTCTCATTGCCGGAGGGGAAGAGAGAGAGAGCTGCTGCATTGTGGTTGGCTGTCAATCAGGCCTAAACCACAACAATCATGAAGGATCCTTACATCCCACAGAAGGCAGGAGGCAAGCTGACTGAAATTAGCATCTGAGGTCACATGTGCTACAACCTATTTTTCAAATAGTTAAGGAGGCCAGACACATCAATAGCAAGTCGTTAGGTACTCAAATACTACCAAAAGTTTAGCAAAAACAATATTCAGAGCTGCAGAACTGTAAAACCACCACTACTGACGTAATTGTGTCCATTTTTGGAGGTCTAAACACATCAGAGGAGTATCTCACAGGATACTGAGCATGTGCATTCTGTCTTACCTCAGGAACTCAGAGACACAAAACTATCTCCATTTTCTGAGTTAGCTGTCAGGCAAATGCCATCGTATTTAGAACCAGGCTTTGCTTGTAGAACCTGATTTGTAAAACTCAGTACACTTGACCCGAAGGGCCTGACAGTCACTGCTTGCCAGGGGCATAGCCCGTGGCTGAGGTTTTCCATTCTGTCCTGGACAAATCAGGTGAGAAACTGTGACAATAAAATTGGGTTTTCTGGGCAGCTGTAGGAATTTATAGTGACTGAAATGTGAAGGAAGAGAGAAGAAAAATATGGAGAGAGGGAGTGTGTGTGTGGTCTTCTCTCCTCCTTTTATATTCTTGTCTTTTTCAAGAGAAAACACTGAGGGGATGGTGATATGTTTCTCTGTTTGCTCTAAGGATTCTAATAGAAAAGAGAAATTTATGGCTTACTTTTGTTCACACACAGAGACAGGCTGTGTTCACTGTCAGGTGAGTGCTTTCAGTACAATCAAGCCTTCATTTTAAGAACAATGTTTAATATATTTACCCTAAAGTGACTGCAACGGTTCAGTTTCTGGATGTTGCAAATATATGTGAGTACTGAAATGGTACACTGATTGTTAACATCATATATTTAACAGTTGTCAGAAGATATTGTTGGTTTTCTTATCCTGCTGCAAAAAAGTCATGACTGAGGGGTGGAATAGGGAAGTATCTGAATTCTTATCAGAGTTCAGAGCACCAAGTGCCTTTTTGTATGGCTTATCTTTGCCCGTCTGATGCCGTGTTGCCTTGGTAAAACCAATACGCACAGTAGTAAGTGCCAGAATCCCTCAGGGTTAAATGATTTATTGTGAGGCCATAGCGGAGCTCGGTAGGATGCTTCCGAACTTGAAATTTCCTGCTATCGCGACTGTCATCAAAAATAGGTGACTGTCCCGATGTGTACAGTATCCTCGTCGGAGGCTCTCCAGGAAGGTGTTTGTACCAGTGCACGATGGTTTTGGTCCTCATTTGGCACTGCATGCTGGCCGAGTTCCCTACCACCTGCCTCTGCAGCGCTGGGGTTTGCAATGGCACTGCCTGCGTGTCTCCGCCTGGAAGGAGAAGAAAAGAAATTGTGTGAGGGGAAGAAAACTCTGGACTTTGGAGCCAGGACTGTGTTCTCTGCACGTAGGAAGGAGAGAAAAAAAGGGCTTACGGGACCAAAATGAAGTTAAAAGGAGGACTGGAAGCAGCAACATGCTGCCCATGCGGGTTAAGCCTGGAAATGAAGTAGAGACAGAAACGTTACAAAGCTTGTGGGGTGGAGAAAGCCTCAAATGACTGGGAGGAGGAAATGATTCATTTGGCACATCCAATGGTCGTTCTTCAACTCGTCACCATGGAGGAGGTTAAATTCACTGACAACTTAAACCACAGCAGTAACAGTGTAGAAAGGACCTAAAATACTCAATCTGAAATAATGTTTTCTCCATCTATTTACTACATTCCTCTCAGACTTACCTGCTGAGCTCACACATAACTGTTCAATTCACCCCTTCCCAAGGATGGTCTCCTCTCCTCGGACACCCCAAAGCTGCCTCAGAAGCATGTTTCACCAGCCTTTCCTACAACATACTGCCTGTTTTGGTAACATAAATTGGATCATTCAGAGTGAACTATCATCACTTACTCTTTCTTAAAACAGCTCCAAACTGTTTGGTCAGCCTTACCCAGCTACCCCAGAGAAGGTGAAGGGAAGGCAGGGTTGAGCATGCATGCCTCCCAGCCAGCTGTTTGCTGCCTTCTGCTTTTTCTTGTACTTTCCCTCATTTCAGAGCCCTGAAAAGGTACCCTGCAAAAACTTCATAGCAAATGGTCCCTTGGGGAGCCACTACCACACACCATGCTCTTTGCTAAGAAAGATTTACCAGCTTCTGACCCAAAAGAGAGAATCCTCTCTGGATCTTTTTTAGGTCTTTTTGTCCATAGCAATGTATACCACTAAATCTCATCTCACAACCAGTACAGAAAGTTCATGTTCTTCTGTTGTTCTTGCGATTCATACATGAATTTGTGTCGTGTTCTGTAGTGTAGACATAGATAAATAGAAAGAACAAAAAACAAGCGGGGAGTTTACTTACTTGAAGACTCTGTCTTTATTCTTAGTCCGCTTAAGTGTGAAAGCCAGGGAGGAAGGTATTTCCCAAGGTGAAACTAAAGCTGCAAGAAGAACCAGCAGCAATGATGCTTTCAGAGAAGATGGCTGGGCCTGTAGGAACCCAGGTAGTGAACCTGGGCTGGGGGATGGGCTGAGGACAGCAAACGACACGCTCGGGTTGCATGAAGCACTCACATGGACGTGGGGCTGCGAATACCATCACTATAAATGACATTTCACTGTGGCTCTGCTCCCAGCTGGCTGGCTGAGCAGTGCTGTGTCACTGTTCCCATATATTCCCTGATTTAATCTGCAGCTTTCTCTTGTAAACAGTCTTTGCAACCCTTTCTCATGAGCGTTTTTTTCAGGTGTTGCCCAGTGTAATGGATCCTTACCCGTAAGGAGGGATCTTAAGGGGTTTTCATATAAAAAGCAGTCATTGCCATCATAACCATTATGATGAGAGTGGCTGGTGATGAGTATCATCAGTATCTCCATCGTGACCTGGATTTGAAGTCTCCCAGTCTACATCTTCAGCACAAACATCCTCCTCCTATGCTCCCTCCCTGCCATCACTTCATTTTTTTTTTTTAGCTCAGACCATATCTGGGAAAGTATCTATATTATTCAAAGGCAATCTGTGTTACTGTACAACTCATCTGTAACACCATCACCCACCGGAGTTCTCCTTTTCCCCAGCGCAGCACGTTGTACCTGCTGAGTGGTAGCACGCTGCATTTCTTTGCTGCTCACTCTGGCCATTATTTATACTTACATATTCGGCATGAACCTGTTGGGATGTTTTAGAGGCAGGAAGGTACAACTGTGGTTCTCTGCATTTGACAGAAAGCCTGCCGCTCAGGGTGCAGGCAGCTTTCTGTACAGACTGCCTGTGGTCCGCTAGTTCTGTGATACTCCCAGTAGGCACAGTAGTAGGTACCTTCATCGTTTGAGTTGATGTCCTTGATTGAGAAAATGCAGACGTTTGTTCCTGTCTTTGAACAAGAATACTTGTTTGTGTGGGAATGGTCATCAAAAGAAGCTGCACCTGATCCAATATACAGAATCCGTTCAGGAGGTTTGGAGGGTATGTGCCGGTACCAATGTATATATGCAGAATGGAAGTTGGATATGCCCTCGGCTACACACTCTATCCGTGCAGTTTTAGTTGACTCTCTGGTAACAGATACTTGGCTCTGCTTCAGGCGCACTTGTGCTTGTCCATCTAGAAAACAGAACAAAACCACTCTTAGCCTGCTGTTCATTCACACACGTACATACGGGGTGCCTCCTGCCGCTGCCCCGTGCCGCGGCAGCGCGGGGGAACCTACAAGACCAGGCTGCAGCCAGGACCAGGAGCAGGAGCAGCAGCATCCCGAGGGCTCTCGCTGGCGTCTGCCTCCGGGAGGAAGGTGACGGCTCTCCCGTCCCGGCAGGGACCGAGGGCTGCGGCCGGGGAAAGGAAATGACTCACTGGGGCATCATCCGGAGGGGCTGCCCTGGCAGCAGGTGGGTGAGGGTGAGATAAAGCAGCCTGACTGAACCCCGCTAAATGGTTACAAGTCGCAGTATAGCTTTTATACAAGTGGCACAAACTCACCTCTTCTCTCTCATACACACACACACACACACACAATTACCTTAACTCCTTTACAAAGTAATTTCCTTGTCTGGAGCAAATTTCACCACTGCTTTTAGACTCATTGAAAGCTACTAAACCATGCCTGGGGTCAGAAACTTTTCCTCAGGTACACTGCCAATAAAAAGGAGGGGAAAAAGAAAAAAAAAGAACATGTGACCTAATGAATTTGAGGGGTCTCAAATTACTGCTCATCACACAGGTTGAATGCCAAAGATCAAGGAAATACACAGCAGCCATCTGGGAGCTCAGAAGTAGTGTTGGTGCGCTTCTGACTGCCTCTTGTCACAGGCAAGGTGAGATGCTACACCCCCGAGTGGCATCTTCAAATTCAAACACAAATGCTTTACAGCCCCCACAGGCTTAGTTTAAAATAAAGATAATTAGGATAAGCAAAATATAGGAATTATTCTATGTAATTCAAAGTCATTCTTCAGAGGCAAGGCTGCTGCTGGTTCCCTCGGAAAGAAAACTAAACCAGTTCCCCTTTCTCTGTTGTAATGTTATTTTACTTAGGTCAGCCAGCTTTTAATTTTTTTCAAAGATTTTCATACAGATCCAATAACTTCTATTCTACAGTTGTGACAGGAATTCGATTGTTCACTCTTCTGTGAAATGTAACTGCTACCCCAGTGCTCAGTGTGCTCTGGAGACCCGGTACTTTATCTGGAGCTAGAACAGCCTGACTGAACCCCACTAAATGTTAACAGTCACAGTATGGCTTTCACACAAGTGGCACAAACTCCTCTTGCTCACTTGCTCTCTCATACACACACACAATTACTTTAAATCCTTTACAAAGTAATTGCGAAGTCTGAAACAAATTTCACCACTGCTTTTAGACTAGTGGAAAGCTGTTAAACAAAGCCCAGTGTCAAACACGTTTCCTCAGGTCCACTGTCAGTAAAAGGGAGAAAAAAATTAACATGGAGCTTAATGAATTCAAAGGCTCTCATGTTATGGCTCATCATACAGGAAAATAAACAGCAGCCATTTGGAGCTCAGGATTACTGCACTTGTAACTGCTTCTTGTCACAGGTACAGTGAGATGCTGCACCCCAGGGTGGCATCTCCAAATGTACCTTGTACCAGAGACTGGGAATACTGGGTCCTTTGGGATCAGAACACAGTGGTCCTGTGATTTTAACAATCAGTTGTTAGGCCATAAGCAGAAAAGGGATGAAATAATGTAAATTAATGTCTTTCTGTTTGCACAATGGAAGTATGAATATCTATTTTATTGCAGACTTGATGCCGTGAAAGATGAGGAGCCCCACTGAAGTCAATTAAGAGAGTTGTGTTTGAATTTAAATGAAGGTTTGACCAGGTTCAAATGGAAAACAAAGAGAAAATAAAACAAGATTCTCCACCAGCAAAGAAGTACTGAATGAGTATATTGCATCTGCAATTCTGAGTGGTGCTTCAAGTTTATTTTCACTTGTATCCTTCTGTTCCGCCACACAAATGATTTAACTGGGGATTTATTCCAGATGTAGCTGGAAGGATAGTGGGAATAAAAAGGTTTTTCCTTCTTTTAGTTAGCCCAACCTACCAGCCTGTAAACCCACCCAGAGGCAATCCAGCCAGACCTGCGAAAATGCCCTTTTTGTTAGAAAAGTGAAATAACAGCTCTGCCGGTGCCGACCGCAGCGTGTGCTCAGCACCGGCCGTGGTACCTGGCTGCCTGCACGGTGTGTCTGGTTCAAGGCTGATGGGGAAAGCAGGGTGGGGATGTTCCTGCGTGTTGTCAGACACTTCAGGATCTGGTTCAGAAAGCAGGGCGCATCTTTGTGCAGGTCCCCTATGGCTTTCTACTGCTGTGCATCCCACTTAGCACAGTAGTAGGTAGCGGAGTCTTGCAGAGTTACTTTGCTCACTGTCAGGGTGCAGACAGATTTGGCGGGGTCCTTCTCGATACTAAATTTCCTCTCCTCGGTCTTGTTTTGAAGGAAGAGCCTGGAGGACATGTAGGCAACACGCCTGGGGGCTGCATTGGGCCTCTTCTGGTACCAGTGAATGAAAACGTTATTAAAATCAGGATCGGAGACATGGCAGTTGATTAGCACCGTTTTGCTTTCTGGCTTGGTGATGGATATGGGGGTTTGCTGCAAGACTTGTGCAGAATCGCCTGTGTGAGAGAAAGAGAAAAATTAGAAACGTGAAGCTGAAGTAAGAGAGTGTCCCCGTTGTCACTGGTGGACGTGGAGCCAGAGGGGTGAGCAGGGCACGTACAAGAGGAAACAGCTGCCAGGATGAAAGTGCTCAGCAGCCACATTGTCACTGCTCTCCTTATGGCTTCCTCCCGGGGACAGGGTCAGGACCAGGATCAAGTCAGGGCAGAGGAGATCTGAGTGGCAGAAAACCATCCAATGAGGCTGTGCCAACTGTGGATGTGTTAAATAATGATGCAGAAGACATTTCCATTGATTAACACCTAAATAGAAGGCAAACAGAAACACACCCTTCTTCAAAAACAACCCTGCCCTTGTAGGAAGAGAGCTCACTACTGAGGCAAACTTTTTTTTTTTTTCTGTTTTTCTGCAGGGAATTTGCTTGGATGATGGGATGAGGAGCAAAATGTCACCTTTTTTTTTTATTTTTTTTTTTTTTTTTTTTTTTTTTTTTTTCTCTCAGCATATGATTTATGTGTGCTAGCTTGTAATGTCAGTTCTTCACATCGGGATTTTTAAAGTACATCAGCATCAGCTATCAGAGGATGGAAGAGAAGAGATGCCCCCTCAAAAGCAGGCAAAGTTGCTGCGCTAAATCACAGAGACCAGGAAGCATTTCTGGGAAATTGCTGCTGCGTGTTGGTTCGTACACTTTCCTCTAGGCCCCTGCAGTTGGCTGCTGCTGGAGGGAGAGCACTGGGCTGCGCCCGGCAAAGAGGGACACAGGGTTAAACTGTGACTCTACCTCACCCTGGTAGAGCAGTAACTCCCTTTTGCCTTCCCTTCCAGGTTAGTCAGCTAAAGCAGCCAACGCTTTAGGATGTTTAGCGCCTTGTTTTTTATAACTTGTCACCCTAATGAGTTCCTGCAGGCGAGCCCAGCCTGGCAAGCAGTACCCGGGATGCAGGGGAGTTTTCCAGTCCTTGGGAGCACAGAGGAGGTTTCTCTGCCAGCTCCTGGATGGTTTTCTAAGGCTGTGTGGCACAATCATGCACAATCATAGGTAGCCCCTTGCTGCTTTGTCATTTTATTTATCATCAGAGTACAGATGGACTCTCTCCTCTCTTTCTCAGCCCCCAATTTTCTCTGTAAGATTTTTCATAAAAATGAGGATCCCCTGATGGTGCGTACTGGTGGATGAAGGCATTTGGAAAGTCTGACCCAGAAAAATGTCAGCTGATCCGCTCAGCCCTTTGCACTTCTCTGCTGGTGGCCTGAGGCTCTGCGCAGCTCCGTCTAGAGGCAAGCAGAGAACTGGCACTGTCGTGACAGCAGTGACCAGCCCCGGGGGCTCTCCCAAGCCCCTGTGACTCACATCTGCAGCAGCAACGTGCGCATCACCCCATGTCGCGCCTGTCTCCCCGAGCCCGAGCCCGCCAGGCGCTGTGCCCAGCCCCAGCCCCATCACCCAGCGGCACCTCCTCTAATGGCCTCGAGCTTTTTGGGGGGGCCACAGGAGCTGTTCTCCATCTGCACCTGAAAATCCCTGCAAGCGGTGGCACCCTGCAAATGGATGCCACCACGCACAGTGGCTCCCCAGATTAAGCCCTGTGTGGACAACTACGGCTTGTTTAAGGACACTGCCTCATGATCCTGCAACAGAGACTGTGCCACAGCCACAGGAAAGATGCTTCAGCAATTCATCGCCCCACTCCTACGTCTTGTTTGCAGCCCAAGTTCCCCTTGCTTTATTTCTGCCTGGATATATATTTGTTTATTCTCCGAGATTTGGTCCCCAGATATGGTACTAGACAGAGATCAGCTTCATTCCTTAGCTCTCTTACTGGCTGAGGTGTTGGAGGCTCCAAGTGTAGGGTGATTTTTCCTCCCATGACAATACCTCCAGAGCTCTTCTTTTAACAATTTCTCCCGTTCCTTTTGAATCTTGAATGTCAAATGGGATCCCGTAATATAACTGCTACCTGAAATCCCCGTTCTTTCAGGCAATGTATGGACTGTAAAGGAAGCTCAAGTGTTTTCAAACTTTTACTGACAGCTCCAGTAATTAAAATATTGTAAATATGCATCAAAATTATGCCTGTCCAGGAAACTTCTTCCATTACCTGGCTCTGTAGTTGCTGGTTCCCACGTTACTGGGATTTCTCCCTGCCTATCGGGGGCAACTGTCTTCACACTTGGCCATTTCCCATGGTCTTGGTACCATTACAAATTTTAGCAGGCTAAAATCTATGTTTAGCTCTCTAGCTTAAATGGAGATGCTTTATAGTATAAGTTTATATGACATCTGCAGGACATCAGTAGGAATACACTCATTTGCGTGTTCTTACTATGTTCTTAACTTGCAAGAGAGACATTTTTGGAACATGTTTTCTATGCGTCTGTCTCATATAGTTTATTGTCTGATTATCTAATCAAAATAGTGGGCACTTCCCAAGCCAAATGCAGCACATGGGCCAGAGTATTTTTATATCAGCTGGCATTAGTCAGGCAAACCAGAATCTCATTTTAAAAAAAGTTCAATGCTGAGGTCTGAAAACCTGCTGATGAACAACCTTCTCCCCCAGCTATCTCCCATCTCTGCTGCTTCCTCATCCAGTCTGTCTGAAAAAACACACTTTATAATGACAGTTTACTGA